CGGGCCGCAGGTGCGCTCGCCACCAAAAGGACACCTGAGCACGCCTGCCGGGCAAGAGTAGAGTCCGCAGAGTGGACTGTGGCTGGAGATGTGAGAAATTAGGTGACTCGGCAGAAGTCATCCTGCTGAATCGTAAACGAGCACTGACTGTGCGGCCGCATCCCCTTCCAGCCATGTCCTCGTGGAGATCACCCTCCAACAGAGAGACAATAAGCTAACAAACAAGTGTAATCTGTGACCCTCCAACAGAAAGACAATAAGCTAACAAACAAGTGTAATCTGTGACTAATGTAAAACAAAGGACAGGAAGGAGGGGGTGCAGGGGAGATCCCAAACACGGGACGAGGGCAGGGCTTGCAAGCGGCCAGGCCGGGGAACCTCAAGGGAGAAACAAAGGAGGTGGAGGGAACTCGCGCCAAAGAGCCCCAGTCAGCTTCATTTTACAGAAAAGGGTTCTAAACCCTTCTAGATACCAAAGCTGCTAACACGGTGGTGACTCACCTTCCCTTAACATATTTGATTGCTAAGAACCAAGGGGGCGTCCCAACTGCAGCTCAGAATAGACGGAGGAGGCAGAAGTGAGGTAGAGCCCTGGGGAGTCAGGCCGTTCTTTTAACTTCTCTGAATCTGTTTCTGCATCTACAAAATGGGAGTAAGGATTCCCGGGAAAGGGGGTTTTGTGAAGACTGGGGTGAGCCCCCAGCTCCAAGCACAGTGCTGGGTACGTAGGAAATGATCATTAAACGCTACCTAAGAGCAGAAGTCATCCCCGGGAAGCAGCTAGGAGTAAAAAGCAGCCGTCTGTCTGTCCCCTAGGGAAAATCCTTTGAAGGCTCCAGAACCTTTCTCTTCAAAATGGTTACCTACTCTTATATTTGGTTTGGAAAATGGTATTCCATCAAACACACACCCTGCTTATTCGTAATTTGCTATTCTCAGGAAGCCTCCAGAATCCTAAACCCGCAGCTCCGGATGACGGTACGGTGGTCAGGGGGAGGCACACGGAGGTGACAGCATGCGTGGGGAAGAGAATTCAAGTCTGCAAAGTCGGTTCGTGGATTCTCGTTTCTCTTTGAATTATTTCTCATCTCCTTCTTCAGCTCAAATGGGCTAGAAGGTTGAAAGGACCCTGGGGGCGGGGGGGGACCTTGTCCATCTCTCTGCCTACAATTAGATGGAGGATATCTAAAGCCACGTGGCAACTGTTTGGGGGCGGGGGGGAAAGTTAGGCTTAATGTTGTCAGGCTAGCAAAAGTCAATAGGAGCGGACTGGAACGAAAGGAGGCTGATTCTAGTTCAAATCACATTTGGGCCAGTAAGACTCCTGTCCAGCCTATCACTCCTCTGACCCCCTCACTTCACGCTGCCTTCCAGTTATCATCACAAGAATTTAGGCAAGTGTAAACATCCTGAAGAGACTACAATTACACAGATTGACCCTGACGGCGGGCCACCGTGATCACCTGCCTGGATAAAACCCCCTCCCGACAGACGGAACTCAGCTCTTACTAAACAAAACTAATGACCAGTCCCCAAAACGAGTCTGGGTTAGATCAAATGATCTTCGCTCAGTTCGCAGTAACTGTAAACGAGCTTTCTGTTTCTCCACAGGCACGCGGCTCCCCGCTTATTTATCTTAATCAGGAAGAACAGAAAAGATCTACAGCACTGACTATCGATACAAAATTTTAAGTCATCAGCTTTCAGGTATTTTCACTTTTTCTCCAGAAGAGGTGAAGAGTGAGTGTGGCTGTAATCACTGAAGTCTTAAGATACAGTGTTTCCATTTATTAAATGAAAAGATGTGAGGAATATCATCCCGTATGATTACACTTAAGCGGGCTCTAAAATCAGTGTTTCGTTAAAAATATAGTCACAAGAAATCAGGTTATAGAAGATATTTAGTAATTGCAGAAACATAGCAATGAAGTAGTTTATGTGAAAACAGTATGTACAGTAGGATTCTAAATTAGCATGTAAAAATGACTACAAAGATATACCCCAAAAAGTGAATAATAATTGTCTTTTACTTGTGAGAGGACGTGTAGGTTTTATTTTCTTTGTGTCATGCTTCTATTTTTTGAATCTTCTACAATGTTCATATGTTTGTAACTGGAGAAAGAAATTCAATAAACGGTAATATTTTTATCTGTATTACAGTGTTTCAGAGGTTTCCCTTTCCATCCATAGACTCCCATGGGTATACCAGCTAGAAGAGTGAATCAGATCAACCCATTTTAAACAAAGTTAAATCGTTGTTTATTTTTGTGATGCTTTACTGTTTTCAGAGTACTCGCTCTTAAGCATTATCTAATTTGATGATCTGTGATTCAAGGAAAGGCTATTATGTCCTCATTTTACAGATGAGAAAACAGAGGCTCAAAATGATTAAATAATTTGCTCAGGGTCACACGGCTCATAAAGCAGTTAAACTGGGACCCTGACCTGGAATTTCTGCTATCCGTGAGATCTTCTCTCAAAAATAAGCTGAGGGAACCTTCACTCACGGCTTCTTCGTTCAAGAAGTTCCCGCTAAATGCCTAGACCCCATTCTTCAAGGATGAATTCTCCCCGATTTTGCCCAATTTAAATGTCCAGAGCTTGACTAGAATCATCCATCCAGGCATCGATGCTGCACAGAACAATGACCTCAGGGGGCTCTTGAGCTTGGAAATTTATAAACACGATGGGAGAATTTGCTGAGGACAGAACCCACATTCTGGGATGAAATTCTACATAACTTTCTACACAGACATAGTTAGGAGTCTGTAAAGGCCACATAATGGGTTCCGGTGCCGGTTTCCATATCTTCTCCCTGAAGCACTGGGGCGCACCCTTTATGGGGATGGCTGGAAGAACAATTTCAGGGCAGATCTGCCTGAAGGCTCCTTGCCGGGTCTTATGCAATTTGGGGGGAATGACCATTTCTTGCTTCGGCGCCCTCGTTCCTGCTCACAAGCAGCCACTTACCAGAGCTTGGTAACCAGAAACAATGGCACGTTGTGTTTTTCAGTTGCAAGCAATAGAAACAAGGCCCCATTGCCTCACATCTTGTAGGTTTTAGGGTGGAAAGACAGGGTGAAGTTTACAAAGCAGCATTCTGACGAGACCTCACGGGAAGCCGGAAAAGCCAGGCTTACCAGGCTTTGGGGAGACACGTGGCCCAAGGAGAGGCTGTCCCGGAGTCGGGCAGACCCCCTCCTTCTGCAAGTGTCACAGGGCAGCATGCAGGGGACACAAAGCAGTCCCACTTGGACCCCTCGGGATGAGCAGTTTGGGAACCTCGGCATCGCTGTCCCACGGCAGTGGCAAGGACACCCCTTCAGTGACATCACAGGCAGAGGCCAAAGATGAAGAACACGACGGTTTCCTGGCATTTCCGGTCAGATGCTTCAGTGAAGACCACGTGACAAAATGTGTGTGAGCTTTCCATCTGCACCCAGGACCAGTGAGCTAACTTCATGTGAAGGACCCTCCCTGGACATACAGCTCCGGGGACGGCTGACCGAAGGCCCGCCCTAGAGGCAGCCTAGGGCACGGGAGCCATGCTTCTCTCCTGACCCACAACAGGGAGGCGTCAGCACTGTGGTGACTAGAAATGAGTTTTCCTCAGTGAAATGAGCACTTTTCAAGGCGCATGGATTGGCATGTCCCGGTATGAGCAGGATATTACGGAATTAGGGAGCCAAACCACCTGTCTTTGGGATAGCCCCCAAAGAGACTGTTGGCGTACTGTTACCTGCGCAACCAGAAAGTCAGCTGAATCCTGCTGCTGACATCCTCTCCCCTCTCTTCTGAATGTGCCCCTGAAGCACCTAAGGTGACAGACACTCGGGACTGCATCAAGCTCACGGAGGCAAGAGGACTCTCTCGTCGCCAGCGGGTACGGGTGTGTGCTTTCTCTCCCCCGCATTCTACCCTAGAGGGCTCACGGATTTCTAGTTATTAGAGGCTATTGCCAACTGGTCAAAAATTATTCAATAGCTTTAAATGATTCAGTTGATCTGACTTAGGACCTTTGGTTAGGGTACCTTAAGTATTCTGGGAAAGAATTAGGGAACTTCTGAGCAGAAACCGAGTTGAATTACTCCTACGTTCTGAGTACTAATGTCATGCGGCCTCATCTGCACCCAAAAACAGAAAGGGGCCTGGAGAAATCTGGGGTTACCCTTATATTCCTGAGCAGCCTTCCCCAGTGCAACCGGTCCGGTAAACATGTACAACTCATGGCGTCAGGACTTCTGAGTTCAGTTAAATACCACAACTCAGTTTCGTAAAAATCAACTTTAAAATGCTTTGTTTTCATCTTTATTCTCTCTCTGATTTTAAAAATAACCCATGTTTACTCTAAGTCCCACATTATAGAACACTGAGAATCCCCTAGAATCCCACCCTCAGAGATGACTACTAATCTCTTTGGTGAACATTATTCCAGATTTTTGGGGGCGTATGGTAGTAAACAAACAGATCAAGTGGAATTCTGCTACCACTGGAACATACGCTCGTCTGCTCTTGTGCAAGTTTTCAAACAGTTCTGAGAAATAACTCAACGACCAGTTTCTTCAGAGCTTTATGCATTGGTCTTCAAAGATTCACTCACACAGTGGGTGGAAAACCTCCAAGATTTTCTTGTCCTTCAATATCAAATATTTCCCAAAGTATTCAAGGTGAATACGTTTTTCTTAAGAAAGGAAATGAACAATGAATTTGATACAAAGGAGAAAACAGTACAGAAAATCATAGCAGTTTATCAAAATAAAAACTCCAAAATTCCAATTTCAGCAAGTATCATAAAACGGCTTTAAATTTTGACTTTGGGAAAGAATGTATCCTAAAAGTAATGCTACAATTCTTGTCATCTGATCAATACAAGAGGGTGCGCTGTATTCATACGGCCATTTAGAATTCTTTCCATTCCGACCGAAATCGAATGACTAGAATTGCTACAAAAGAAATCATCTACCTGCAGGGAGTCCAGAATGGGGCACGTGGAAGACATTTCAGCTTTTGCAGCTGGTAAAGGACAACTTTGATTCAACCTCCCACAGCTTCGCTTGTAATGCTTTCAAAACATCTTCCATCTACCGAATTGAAAAAATAAGATACACATATGATCACGATTAAAATCGCACCATTAAGTGATTAAAATATGTATCATTAATAAAATGTATGACTATGATATGCATTACACATATTCAGTGTTTAATGAAATTATTTAGAGGCATAAACTAAATTTTATATAAATAAGGCATCATTATATTAACAGTAGTTCTCAGCCTCTAACCTGGAGTTCTCTTATACACACATCAGAATGTTGCCTATCTGGCCATGAAAAGATGTTAACGTTCAAAAATTAGGTTGTTGGGGCGCCTGAGTGGCTCAGTTGGTTGAGGTCTGACTCTTCATTTCAGATCAAGTCATGATCTCAAGGTTCGTGGGATCAAGTCCCATTGGGATTTTCTCTCTCTCTCCCTCTGTCCCCCCTCCCCACTCCCCACTCATGCTCACTCTCACACTGTCTCTCTCAAATAATAAATAAATAAAGAGCTTTTAAAAATCGGGTCGTTTATACCATGAGAACTGAATCAAATGAAATACAGTTTACTAGTTTTAGATTATACACTGCTTTGATTGAAGCATGAAATGACTTATTTTTTTTGATAAAGCTTTAGCTCAAATTGTAGTTTGGCTCGCCCCCAAAATCAATTTTACTAACAACTGAAATAAAATAAGCACTCTCTTACCATGAAAGTACTAAGATCAAAACAGATGCCTTTGTGAGGAGTATTTGTGGAGGAGCCCTTGTTCACTAACAGGGAAGTGGTTCATACAAAGATATACAAAGTACAGAACAAAATTACCTGCTTTAGAGACTTTTCTATTTCAACTCTGCTTTCAAGATTAAAAAGTTCTTTATCTTCTGACACGATTTGTTTTTCCGAGGACCCTAAAATATAACTGAAGTACAGTGCAGTACGAGGTTAAAATAGGAAAAGGACGCAAATATTAAATTCATTTCAGTTAATATTAAAACTCTAAGTATATTACACTATCTGTTTGTACCAAGTAAACACAAAATAACTATTTTTGTTACCAGCAACCTATGTAGGAAGTTGTATTACAGAAAATCGTATTTTTCTCCGTAATAGCTTTGTCCTGATATTCCTACATATTTTCCAATACTCTAAGTATTTCATTACTGGAACGAACTTGCTCTTTAGTTAGCTGGGTGCCAAAACATTAACAGTCATAGTTCAAAATTCTATGATTAAAAAATTTGAAAAGATCCTGAGGAAGCCACTGCTTTTTTGCTTTCTATAACTTCGGGGAACATGTATAATTTCAAATTGGACTTGTAGTAAATAATCTATGGAGTCAGTTCTGGTCACCCCAATGTGGCAACTTCAACAGTAATCGTCCAAGTTGTTGTGCCCGGCTCTCTGAGGTTAGGGGATGCTGTGGTGCAGACAATACGCAGGAAGAGAAAAACTGGCCTGGAAACAAGGAAAACAGGCCCAGTGTTGGTAACCCAAGAGATCAAAACAGCAAACAAGAAGGTGCCAGTATTTCTCCAAAGAAAACTTGATTAATTTACATTTCTTTTGAAGTCTTTTATCACATGTAGTAACTCCAGTATGTCACTTCTTTTGTCAAATAAGAACTATCTTCTTGTGGAAACCTCATTGATTGTATTTCTGAAAAATGGCACGGGAGACAAAATTGCAGAAGGCAAAAAAATGAGAGGAGGTGGGAGATGAAGTGGCACTAAGTAATTTACAAAACTGTAAATAGGGGCTCCTGGCTGGCTCAGCAGGTGGAGCGTGTGACTCTCGATCTCAGGGTCATGAGTTCAAGTCCTGAACTGGGTGTAGAGATCAGTTAAAAATAAAATCTTTTTTTTTTTTAATTTTTTTTCTTTTTTTAACATTTATTCATTTTTGAGAGTGAGAGAGACAGACCATGAGCAGGGGAGGGGCAGAGAGAGAGGGAAACACAGAATCCGAAGCAGGCTCCAGGCTCTGAGCTGTCAGCACAGGGCCCGATGTGGGGCTCAAACTCACAGAGTACAAGATCATGAACTGAGCTAAAGTCAGACGCCCAACCGACTGAGCCACCCAGGCGCCCCAAAAATAAAATCTTTAAAAAAAAAAAAAAAAAAACCTGTAAATAAACACTTCTAAAACCAAGCAGTTTCCTTGGCATTAAAATTCTACCCTAAGAGGAAAAAACAACTTCAATACTATAATCTCCTGTGGCAAAGTTTTCCACGTTTCCTTTTATACAGATATGTACCACTTTTGAAAGTTTTGTACCAAGCCGACCAAGCTGAGATTTCATCCTTTCACACTTGTCCTCTCCCTCACTTAATTTTCACAGATCTTAGTAAAATTCTCATGGAGATTAAAGGAGCATCTGTTTGGGCCTGGGTCTTCTATTCCTATCTTAAAACCAAAACAGATCTGCTATCTCTCCAGACAGGCCTCCATCCACACAACAGTGAACAGTACCTATTCATCCTTCTTTTGTGTGAGGGCTGTAAGAAGTTTGCGGAGTTTAAAATTCTGGTCTGAACCTGTCTAGTTTCAAACAAGGTGGCAGACTAAAGTTATCAAAGAATAATTTGATGAGAAATCACAATTCTGATAAAAAGAATACTGTTTTAAATCTTTTGAAGAGAAAAGCTGAGGAATTCAGCACGAGTGACAAAATACCTCAAGTAATGAAAGTATAAGCTCTTTAATTTCTTCTTAAAGTTTTCTTCTTTCCTGATATATAAGATTTTTAGGCATCTTTAAAGTCTTGAGGATTACATCTTTTCTAGGATAAGTGAAAATACGCAGGAGTCAAATGAGTTATTTAATTTTGTGTTTCCTAGTAAAAAAGGCTAATTATGGGGTGCCTGGGTGGCTCAGTTGGTTGAGCATCTGACTTCGGCTCAGGTCATGATCTCACAGTCCATGAGTTCGAGCCCCACGTCGGGCTCTGTGCTGACAGCTCAGAGCCTGGAGCCTGCTTCAGATTCTGTGTCTCCCTCTCTCTCTGCCCCTCCCCTGCTCATGCTCTGTCTCTGTCCCAAAAATAAATAAAAACATTAAAAAAAAAAAAAAAGGCTAATTAGAAGGCCATTAAGATCTCTGAAATTCTTTAACTGACGTCTGTCATCAGCCTCCCATTTGCCTTGTTTCCAAATGTTTACTTTTTAGAAATCATGAAGAATGAAGGCACTTCCTTGCATCCTCAGAGAAAGCAGGCGATTCTTCACTAGACTCAAGAAAATGGTTAGACTTTGTATTTGTTTTTCCAGAACACCAAAGGTACTTCTTTCCCAACTAGTTTTGAAATTCCTAATTCTTCATGATATTCTAGGCTAAAAAACGGGGGAGAAAATAAAATGGACAACACATATCGCTTAAAAACCTTTTTAGGAAAAACTGAACATATTTTTACTCTGAAAAATGTTCTCGCAGTGCTTTCTCCTTATAATTTAGTATGTCTGATTTTCCCATGCCAAATATATCAGGTCAAAACAAAAAAAATCATTGGCTTTTTGTCAGAAATTATTACTTGAAAATGTATTTTAACCAAATAGCGTTGATTTCGTTCTATTTTTATACTAATTTTTCTGCAGAAAACTGAGGAATCGGGAGATAACCATTTATTTATCAAACTTACCTTTCAATGGCTTCAACCCTGAGGCAAAACAAGTCTCTCTTGTAATCTAGGCTCTTGGGTGTGCATCTGTAGATGTGACCGAGGTTGAGCGAGCACCCAGAGCAGTACAACGTCTCCAGAACACTGCAACAGCGAAAGGCCGGTGCTTCAGCAAACAGGGTACAACTCGTTATAACAAAGATCCCACTGTTAAAATCCAGAAACATTTAACATCTAAGTGGCTAAAATATGTTATTTCAACCTTACTAAGTCATATGAATAAGGGAGGAAAGAAATGGTAGTAACATATATTAGAAGTGTGGACAGTTGCTTCCAGGCCGCAATGACTTAAGCACCTAGTGACGGGGGACACATAGAAAAGTGACGAGAGGATATTGATGTGGAGTTTTTCTAGAATGTAAATGCCTCAATCTGGTATTAAGAAGAATGATCTAAAACTTGAAAAGAAGGAAAGGATTCCACAGGCTCTTTTAATCTCATATTGTCCACCAAGCCCACTGAGAATCATTAACGCTCTGGGACAGGGGTGGACACATTTTTTCTGTAATGATCCAGGGAACAAATATTTTAGGTTTGTAGGCCACATGGTGTCTGTTGCAATGACTCACCCCTACTAATGTAGCACAGAAGCAGCCACGGACAATACATAACCAGATAGGCACTATGTTCCAATAAAAATATATTTACAAAAAGAAGTGCCTGACCCACGGGCCACACTTCACTCTACTTGAAAGGTAACATTGGGCGCTTACTACTTACTACGGATCAGGGCCCAGACTCTGAAGTTCGATGAGGACTTACAGAAAGCAGATAGATTAGTAAGATTAACAATCTGTAACACCACAAATGATTTTAGTCTGCTGGAGAGGCAAGTGTTCTCTGCTAGCACAAAAGATAACCTCAAAGGCGGAGGCTTTATTGTCCTGGGGGACACGAACTAGATTTGTTCTCCAGAAAGTGTCCTTCTCTAAACCAGCTTTGCCATGTTCCGATTCCCTCAGGAAATGAGTGAAATAAATCTTGGACATGTGCTCATCGTGCATCTGTTACAGAAGCTTTCTCTTTTTTAATTAAACTTCGACCTAACTCTCTTCTACTCACTCCAGACATGCTCCACATAGGCAACTCACAAATATTCTACTTAATGATCCAAGTTCTCCACATAATTAATTGCTCCTTCATTCTAGTTATTTCCCAACTCAGGATCTGCATATTTGAATATAATTTGCCCCACCAATGTCGATTCATGTCTTCTTTAAATCTTAGAATCCAGGGGCACTTGGGTGGCTCAGTCGGTTAAGCGTCCGGCTCTTGATTTTGGCTCAGGTCATGATCTCATGGTTCACGGATTCAAGCCCCGTGTCAGGCTCCATGCTGTCAGTGCAGGGACTGCTTGAGATTCTCTCTCTCTCTCTGCCCCTTCCCTGCTCACTAGCTCTCCCTCAAAATAAGTAAACTTAAAAAAATATCTTAGAATCCAGTCACCCAAATGCCTCATCAAATTGACCTACCCAAATTTGCCATGCTATAAATATCTATACGAAAATTACAGTCCTGTCGCATAGCAAATTGATAACTGAAGATTTAAATTTCGTGATGATAATATAATATACATCACAAAAGATAGCTATTATTTCAAAAGGATTATATCATGCCTTCTAATAACTAGCTATTCCTGTCATCAAAAAAATGGAGCCAACCAAGACTCAAACAATCTATTAGACTGCATTATTGTTTACCTATAGATACGGAGAGACTTTTTTAACTACTGCAGCTCCATAGGGAGCCAAGAACAAAATGAATCACTGCCCAGTAAATTATAAGTTCTCACTGGTAATATAACTAGCTACATAATATGCCATTGATCATATATTAAGCTTCTATAGGCTTTTATATTTTTTACTTTATATTTTTAAATATATTTTATGTTTTTTGGATATTTTAATATTTTACATTTCTATTCATTTTATATTTCTCCATAAAGCCCAGGAAGGAACCCTACCTATGCTACCAAGGGTGAAGAGGAAAATATCCACACTACATATCGAACCTCATAATCTTTACGAGGCTGCCATACACAATTACCAAGACTGTGAACTAACATATGATGCAGGTGTAATCAGCCAAAAAAGGATACTTAAATAAAGGTAAAATACAAAACACACTCATCAGTGGGTAACATTGTTTTATCCCAAATTATCAAAATCAAAGTAAACACCACTGAAGAATACATGCAAACCCATTCACTTCCACAGTGATCTTGAGAAGCAATGAAGAGATAGTAGCTACAATTATTGTAGGGTTTTTCTTTTTCTTTTTTAATTTTTTTTTAATGTTTATTATTTTTGAGAGAGAGAGAGACAGAGAGCAAGCAGGGAAGGGGCAGAGAGAGAGGGAGACACAGAATCCGAAGCGGGCTCCAGGTTCTGAGCTGTCAGCACAGAGCCCGATGCAGGGCTCAAACTCACAGACTACGAGATCATGATCTGAGCTGAAGTCGGCCGCCGATCTGACGGAGCCACCCAAGCGCCCCAGTTTTGTAGTGTCTTTGTTTTCACAGCTGGCAAGGATTTGGCCAGAACCTACCCTTAAATTTGGACAACAATATTGAGAAAGCAGTACCAGAAATCACAGGGTGATTTTCGACAAGAAATGAGTTAGCACATAAGAAACTTAACAAGCAACAGAACGGACCCAGGAAACACTCCTACCTTAACGACACATTTCTAAAACCCACAAGTGTTCTTATTGACCAGCTGCAGAATGACGCAAGCAGCTATTCAGTAGGACAGGCCTATCAAAAACATACGAGCATTCTAAAGCGATACGATATGTCCCCAAGTGTGGAATATGGGACCCTGATGAAATTTAGGACAGTGTAATGTGGCATGAATGATGGGTTCAGGTGATACAAGTAAACAGAACTAAATAACACTGGCTGACAGAGGATGAGTCAATTCCCCTTTAGTTCTCTATCAATCCCAATTATAAGAAGAAGAAAGTCTCAGTCTGGTGCTAGGAAGTCTCGAACACGAATCTCATAGGTGCAAATCTTTCTACAGTGAGAGAACAGACTTTGGGCTCAGAACAAGTGAGGTGACAGCATCCCTGCTAGAGTTTAGTAACATCTGTTTTCATTGTAGTAAACATCTAATCAATGGCAAATGATATATGTATGGCAGTAATACATTAGATTCCTTTTTAAATAAATGTAAATAAAATCCTGAGTCAATGTAAGGAAAGATAGTAAGTACATGATAGCTGGTATATGAATATAGCAAAAATGGTGACAGTGGCATCCAAATAAGTAAAATCGGGGTCAGCTGGATGGCTCAGTCAGTTAAGCCTCCGACTCTTGATCTCAGCTCAGGTCGTGATCTCACGGCTCGTGGGTTCGAGCCGTGTTGGGCTCTGCATTGCATGTGGAGACTGCTTGGGATTCTCTCCCTCTCCTGGCCCCTCCCCAACACGTGCTTGAACACACGTGCACGCACACTTTCTCTCAAAATAAATGAAGAAACTTAAAAACAAAAAAAGTAAACTCGGCAAGGAAAGAAGAAAGAACACTTTGCAAGAAGGGAGGGGAGGCACAGCACTGTGCTAGCTCTAACCACTGCACCGTCCTGTGGCCTATCTCCCCAGGCCTTCCGTTCTTCATCTACAAACTGAAAAACAAGCTAAGTCTGGCTTTTCCAAACTGAGGTCACCTGCGTTGCCAGCAGCACCATTTCTGCCACCTACACGTACTACCTGTACTACCATTAATGTAATTCTCCTTAAAAAGAGTAATCTCCTAATTGAAATGCACTTTATTTGAATTGGACACTCTAGCTAGCATTACTTTAAAAGGAAAAACCAGGGGCGCCTGGGTGGCGCAGTCGGTTAAGCGTCCGACTTGAGCCAGGTCACGATCTCGCGGTCCGTGAGTTCGAGCCCCGCGTCGGGCTCTGGGCTGATGGCTCAGAGCCTGGAGCCTGTTTCCGATTCTGTGTCTCCCTCTCTCTCTGCCCCTCCCCCATTCATGCTCTGTCTCTCTGTGTCCCAAAAATAAAAAAATAAACGTTGAAAAAAAAATTTAAAAAATAAATAAATAAATAAAAAATAAAAGGAAAAACCAGAAGTTTTAAGTACACGTGAAAAAACATACATGATTATTAATTTCTGTTGAGCTGTTTGTGTACCGCCTACAGTTACTTCATATATATCGGTAAAGCACACCCTGGGCAACAATTATACAGGCAGAGCCTCCCATTCAGTTTACTGAAGATGCCACTTGTAGCACAGTGGATGACGGGGATGCCAAGAGAGTGACGCCTTCAGCCCTGGGAGTGGGAGCACGGGGCCTGGGGCTTGCTGGAGCCCCCATACTGGCTGCCTTCAGCCTCATGCAGCCTTGTCTGTTTACCTCAACAGGCCACATGTACATGTGTGTAAGTGTGAGACTAGCATTCTCTACGGGTAACATGACATTAAAAAAACGTAGGTAGCGTTGGTCTAAGGCATCCTTTGGCTAAGATTTTATGATATAGACATTTTTTTTTTTTAATTTTCAACTTGTTTTAGCACTAAGCCCAAACACCCAAAAGAGAGTGTCAGAATGTGACTTTAGAAATCTAGAAACTCTCTTGGGGCGCCTGGGTGGCTCAGTCGGTTGGGCATCCAACTTCAGCTCAGGTCATGATCTCACGGTCCATGAGTTCGAGCCCCGTGTCAGGCTCTGTGCTGATGACTCAGAGCCTGGAGCCTGCTTCGGATTCTGTGTCTCCCTCTCTCTCTGCCCCTCCCCTGTTCATGCTCAGTTTCTATCTCTCAGTAATGAAAAAACGTTAAAAAAAAAAAAATTAAAAAAAATTTAGAAACTCTTCCATTGCAATATCTAAAAAGATCACCAATGCTCAAGAGTTAATACATTAAATTGGCTGATTCTATACTGACCACCAGAAAGAAACTTTTATCCCAACTAATCTTACTGGTAATGATCTTTTTAAAGATTTTTAGCTGAAAAATAAACATTTTCTCAAATACACATATTCCAATAGATAATAATAGCCTTACTCACCAACCATTTTCATTTTTACGTTTGGACAGTATCTGTTCCTTATCCACAGAAACATTACAGGAAACACCTAGAGCAAAGTAACAATAATTTATTAATGTGGTTTGCTATATTACACATGCAGGTATTTAGAGAACTTTTTTTTTTTTTTAAACATTTATTCATTTTTGAGAGACACAGAGCGTGAATGGGGGAAGGGCAGAAAGAGAGGGAGACACAGAATCCAAAGCAGGCTCCAGGCTCTATCTGTCAGCACAGAGCCCAACGTGGGGCTTGAATTTACCAACCGTGAGATCGTGACCTGAGCCGACGTCGGACACTTAACCCACTGAGCCACCCAGGCGCCCCTGGAGAACTTCCAATTCAATTTTCCTTTTAGAACTCAGAGAACCAGGAAAGATAAGAGCCCAAAGTCCCACAGGCATACAAGGGTGGCTCAAAACAAAATGTACCTCTGTACATCTCTTGGAAAAAAGGTGGCAGATGAGAGTTCTTTCTCATCCGTGAAAACCACTGACATTAACAAGTAAAACTAGAGGGGAAAATTCAATCACCAGTCAAGACTGGAACACCTAGAACCTCAGCCACAGATTACCAAGAATACCTGCAAGGTACAGTAAAATTGGGATTAAACCCAAGAAAGATGGGGCGCCTGGGTGGTTCAGTCAGTTAAGGTTCAACTCTTGATTTCACCTCAGGTCATGATTTCGGGGTTTGTGGGATCAAGCCCCCCCCACCGCACCCCCCCACCACACACACACCCCACATTGGCTCTGCACTGTCAGCACTGATTCTCTCTCCGTTTCTTTCTGCCCCCGATAGCACGTGTGCATGCGCTCTCTCTCAAAATAAACATTTTTTTTAAATTAGTCTAAAAATGAATAAAATAAAACCAAGAAAGATGTTAAAAGGCAATGCATACACCCCCAGGTTTCAAATGCAGAGCTCTCAGGGACTTGGACAAAAATCTTTTATTTAGGCCATGACTTGGATGGTGTCACAGCTGACCCCAGAAGCAGGAAACATTCCCAGAGGATCTAGGTCCAGGATACACTAAGGAAGGGATGGGGGACAGAGGGAAATGAAAAAGACCTCACATTTAAAATGTCCAAAGCAATTGGTTTCACCTCCTACGGTCTACCTGAACTGGGTAAATTCCACCTCCATCCACCAAGTTGCTCATATCAGAACGCAAGGTGTCACCCTTGATTCATCTCATCCTCCGTAACCCCCATATCCACTCCACCGATCAGTCCTGGCAATTCCACCTCACGAAACTCACTCTTGCTCCCAAACCATCACTACGTCCTCTTGCCTAGACTATTGCACTAGCTCCTACTGACCTCCCACTTCCACACTTAACCTTCCCTTCAGAGCTTCCTCCAAAGAAAAATCTGGGCCATATCACTCCCTTGCTGAATAGATTAGAATATTCTAATACTCACTAGAATAGAATTCTATTCTATTCACTCACTAGAATAGATTCCAATTCTGAAGAACAGCCTCGAAGGCCCTGAATTTTCTGACCCCTTCCTTCCTCTCTTTTATTGCCGCCTTCTTCATTCTGCTCTTCAGTCACACCAGCCTCAGGGCCTTTGCACTAGCTGGTCCCTGCCTAGAAAAAGCAAAGAGCATGATCCCAGAATTGTACATGCAGTCAAGAGGACGTTTATGTGAAAGAGAACAGAAAGGCATTTTCAACCACCCAAATTTGAAGTTTTCTTGGGAATTGGTGTGGGGGTGGGAAGGGACTACTGATGATGATTAATGAAATAAACAACTCAGAAATGAGAAAGCTATTAAGCTTTCTTGTATTAATAAGAGTCCTGGAGTTGAGAAACAAATTCATACAAACATTACATTAAGCTTCAATGCCCAGGCTATGGCTACAGAACAGAACATAGATGTTATAAACCTTGACAAAGTAAAAATAACTAACTCAAACTGAGGCGGAAGGAAATGGAAATTAATCCAAGAGTTAATTTCTTTATCTTTCATGGCAGCAATGGGGAAAGGCACAGGGTGGGGGGTGGGGTAAACTGAACTGTCTAAAGCTGACAGTTTTTAAAATTTAAAAACTGTTATAGAAAAAGTAACAGAAGGGGTTTTATACATAAAACAGAACAAAAAAGCATGTGGAAAAAGATAGTTCTACTTTCTGTAAAAACAGAAAACTACAAGCAAAATGAAAGATTTAACATCACACATATTATGTCTTGCCTATTAAAAAAAAAAAAAGATTCTCCTACTGTATCAAAAATCTCAACCCAAGTACATGCTGTTCTAACGGAGGCAACTCTGGAAGCAATCCAGGATCAACAATGACAGATTGGAAGGATTAACGGTATCTCTGTTACAAAAATCACTTCAAGTGGCCCTTACTAGCCATTTTGAGCTCATGATACACATTAACTCATTTAATCCTCCTAACTACCGCGTGTATGTATTATCCTCATTTAGTTGGTCATTTTTTACTGAGCAATGTAAAACCACAAGATGCTGGTTCAATCGCTGCTCTTCTGGGCTGGGGGACCCCAGAAAAGGA